TTTTAGTAACGGTAATGTAGTTACATTTTTTTGATAACGATAATGAATTTTACAGTTAGTTTTATCGTTCTTTTGCACACGATTAGACACGGTTTGATTGGACACAAGTCACTCATAGCGTTTGAGACTAGAAAGTCTTTAGGTACCCATTTGCTGTTATTGGTGGTCGTCGATTTTAAAAAAGTAACGGAAAAGTGACGAAAAGTTACTTTCTCAAGTAACGGTAACGAGTTACTTTAAAAATCAGTACCTATAATAGTAATGGTAACTTTTTCTCGGAAACAAATAACTGTAACTTTTAAAAAATAACTTTCCATTCCCTGATTATAAATACAGTTTAACTTCCTTACATTTAATTTCAATATGCACGAGTTACCATTTTACAGAATATATTACATTATACGCACAGAATTATATATTACGTATGGAATTACGTTGTAAAACATACAATTACAGCACACTTTGTAGACTAGCGTTTTTTAAATAAGATAATTAGCATGTATCTAAGTTCTCTTACTCAAAAAAATACTAGAAATAGTATTTGTATTTTTAATTAATTTACATGTATTTTTAATTAATTTACTTTTGTTATTGTATCTTTACTTTATTATTTACTTTATTAATAATGCGCTGTTTTGGCTCCTGTTCTCGTATGCTCATTCACGTTCCGTTTATTCAATTTGTAGCACAACATTTCTTCGCAAGTTTCCATTCTCACCGCTTCATCGAAATTTATCGCGTTAAAGGTACCGCAAGAATATATATTACAGTTTCGCACTTATTGTTAGAAATTACAGTCTTAGATAGCTCAGATTATAGATTATCTAGTATACTATACCTAGTACAATATATAGATTCTTTTACTTCCTTTTTCAACATTACATTGTATTTCTCATAGCATAGAAAGTAGAACTATTAGAGGATACGCTGATATCCCTACGTGGTTCTTTTTTTCGCGTAGGTTCTCGCCGTCCTAGCTTAGCGTCGGTTCATAGTTCGACGTCCTCATCCCGTAGCTACAGCGCACGTCGACTCGAGAAGGAGAGGAACGACAAGGAGCAACGCCAAGCGCTTCAGGAACTCCGGCTAGCTAAGCAACGAGAGCAAACACAGCAACAGCAGCAACAGGTGGTACCGACGCCTAGTCCTAGGACTCCCCATTCCACAGACGAATTGTTGCCTTCAGTCGAAGAGGGGAAGGAAGTTTTCTACAACGAGGTAAGTCATTTCCGATCGGTCATTTCATATCTCTTGAGATTCGGTATCTATCGTTGTCCATCATCATCAGTGGTAATTTAACGTTGAGAAGTAGCTCGGGAGGCTTCATTATGAGGCGAAACTTAGATTTAAAACTTGAATGTATATCCGATAACCATTGCGGTGCTATTTTTGGCTATTAAATTTAAAATGTATTATAGCCATTATTTTTTAGTTATTGTTCATACTGTACGGTCCTAATAAATTGCTTATTATTATCAAAATATATTATTACAATCTCTTATAGAAATGTAATACTGGCTAGTGGTTAATTTATTACAGAAAGAAGGTTTGTTTGGAGCATTAAAAGCTTTGAACAACAATGTTTTTAATACTTAAAATAAGTAATTAATTATTGTCTTTCAATATTAAATTGGCTAGTATTAGAATTCTATAAAGGATTTATTATTACGTATTACAAAATATCCTTGAAAAGTATGTTGCATTAAACATATATAGGTATAATTAATGTAAAGCAAACTAGAGAAAACTAAATTATGATTGTCGTATACACCGAATTTTAGACAAGGATTGATTACATTTGCAGCAGGTACCGACGACATCAGACGTATCAGACACCATCCCAACGACGACTATGACGATGATGACGACGACATTAACAACGGCGATAACCACTCCCAATGTAAACACAACCCGAATGGGCGAGATCGCGCCTATGACAACGCCAGCGACCATTTTCGGAACAAGCGTTGCACCACGGGCTTCCGATGACATTTTCCAAGTGTAGTCTTTGTCAAGTATAACGATGTTGTATGACGAAGTTGATGGACTTATAATTTATTAACGATCTTTTTATTATATTTGCAAGAATCAACCGTCAACGGTATCAAGATGGAAACGCGTACATAAAAGACATAGAAACACACTTGCGATAAAATACAAAACTCTATATCAATAGAGATAAATGCACAAATACTGCGAATAAGTTAAATCCGTATTTTGCCCACGTTAAAAAGTCAGTTTATGACAAACAACATTAAAAAAGCCATTCACGTGAAAAATGTCTTTCTTACAACAAAGAATCGCGATTTGTAATTTTATAACTCACTCTCTCTCTGTCTCTCTCTCTCTCTCTCTCTCTCTCTCTCTCTCTCTTTCTCTATTAAATTTTTTATTTATTTCGAAAAATTTAAGCGCGAATTAAAAATTGTACATTTACTTCTTTAATTAAAAATATTACAATTTTTAAGCTCACCCACAGCATAAATTTTCAAAGGATGTTCTAGAGATGTCTATCGGATGTCTGACATCCTAAGGACATTCCCAAGACATCTTTCGGATAAAGTATACTATATGGACGAATTCAGAATAATACATTAATATATATTATGTATTTGATTCAATTTAATCTAATTTAATGCATAATTGCGAAATTTTTAATTTATCTTTTTTTGCTTTTATGTAGTTTGGAACATAGATATTGAAAATTGATGCTGACTTTATAATACGGACGAAGTATTAATGCAGATACAAGACACTTTCTGGATGAATGTATGTATATACTTGGGCACAAGTGTACTTAATGAATTAGAAGGTGGCGACATATTTTTACTTGTTACTTAAACTGATAAGAATTTATGAGAATGCTTGGAAAAAAGCAGGGTTTAACGACACAATCAGAGCAATGATAGAAATTTTGGACAATAGGTACAAGCAAAAATATTGGAAAAGCTTAACATCTATGTGTAAGTTGGAGAGAAAAAAATTTACGCTTAATGTGTAAGGATTCAAAGTTGATGACAAGATATTCCAAAATAAACAGAGAAAAGAGCGTTTCAATGCTTTGAAGTAATTGAACTGAGAAACTATATATTCGCTAAATAAATGAATTTGTTTGGTATCCAAAAATTTTTAATTATAAAAATATATAATTTTATAAAACTTATTGTCAGCAAAGAGACTGCATTTAGAGATTAACTATGTCAGAAATAAATTGGAATAGCAATACCCAGACAACACAGAATATTTATAATAAATATTTATTACTATTCATTTTTTGAAATGTTATATAGATATTTTAGACATAATTTATATAAAGCTTTATTCAAAGTATTATTAAAATATAGATTAAATATTTTATGTAATATTTATAATGAATATAAATAAATATTTATAGCAATTATTTTTTACTTAAATTCTGATGTCTTATTAAGTACTTTCATAGCATTTACTACATTTATAATAAATATTTCATAATACTTACAATAAATGTTTATAATCTGTGCAATCTAAGACCACAAAAATATTTACAAAATATTTTAAATAAGTCTTATAAATATTTTGTAAATATTCTGTAAATATTGTGTGCTGTCTGGGTAATTCATAACAAGAATCCAACTAGTTGTTTCGGTTAAAATAATTTAATTTATAATGTAATCATATCGAAATACGTATAATTACATATCAGATATATGCATTATAATGATAAAAGCATTGATTCGCTTGACAATATTACTATAAAAAATGCATAACAAAATGAAGTTCCCTTTTTATAATTCTCATAATACATATGAGTATAATCGTACTTCATTCAGAGTACATACAATAAGAAATATTCAAATTCTCATCAAGATAAATTGCATTATTATGTAAAAATTACGATCGAGTCTCTCATTTCGATGACAATATACATATATCTGTTCAATAATTATTGCATAGTTACAAATAATTGTCATACGATCATTTGTTTTAAATCACATTCATAAGCGACCTTGTGAAATTGTTCATCAGAGTGTGATTACATATCAGCAGGTTCTAAGACATTATTCCATTCAATTTCGATCGAAATCGTTGTATCGTAAATTTTTCATTGAAAAATCACGATACGTAGAAAAATTATTGGAGGGACAATCTCGAGTGAAAATCGAGGCTAAATATACTTCAATAAAAATGATACAAAGAAGATAATATAATCTATAGTTCGGATTTAACAAAATACAATTGTAAAAGCCACGAGAATTACGCCGCATTGTTGCTATTGCAGTTACTTCGCTTTGCTAATTGAAGTGGCATGCAATATCAGGCGATTTGTTTTATTTTCCCAACGCAAACATTCCATCGACTTGTTTTTAGACATGAAAAATTAATGACTTGTTCATTCGTTAAATATATGTACACAGCGCGATGTCTTTTATACCCTTAGACGAATGCAACAAAATATCTATATGTAGGTATTGCATATAAATATTGTAGAAAATTTGTTGAAAATAAATCACTATCACCTGCTTTCGTTTAAACACTATCAGTCGTCATACAAACGAAACGAGGACTTCGATTGTGTGTGAATTTCCATTTTGTTAATTATTATTTGAAAATCGATTAAATTAGTTGGATCATATTTCCGTACAATACAAAGATACTTTTAGATCAAATAAAAACAATTTCATTTCTAAAATATTTCGCGATATCTAAAAATTCGAATGACGACTCGAGAAAACTGCGAAATCTTCTCCACTGCGTCATATTTCATATTATACCGTCATATTCTACAATTGTTTGCTGGCATTAATCGTAAGTTAACATAATCGATGCATTTTGACATCACGAGCCTTCCAAATGCAATCTTTGGTCACTAGACTTGTATAAAGTGTAAAACATAACAATATAAAATTATTAAGAAACATTATCCCAAACAGAACAACAATAAATAAGTCACAATAACATCAAAATGATGTTAAAATCATTGAATCGTTATTAATTGAAAAATGACATTTAGTAATCATTTTAAAGTTATTTTCACATCATTTTGATATTATGATGACTTGTATTATGAGTATATATCATATATACACGTGATCACATGTTCGTAATTAAAGATTTACGGAAAATCGGAGACGCATCAGAGAGGCGTAAATCTATTGTTATAGCAAAACGTATATCAACATTCTCGTGTTCGGATAATTTACGCTGCCTTTTCCCGAGTAAATAATAAATGAAAAAGAAGATAAAATGCGTTGAAGAATATTCTTAAACGTTGCATAGCGTGAACGCTGCATAGGCATACATATTTACACATAAAAATTCACGTACACACGTGACACAGAAGTAAGATTATCTGAGGGTCTAAGCACAAAGATGGCCGTAACTGAATCGTGAAACGTGAGTCGTAATCGTAAGTCAATACACAATGTTTTGGCGCAACTGTACGTCGATATGGCATACATAATTACTCCAAAACATTGTATATTTGTCTACACCTATGACTCACGTTCCACAACTCAGTTACGGTCGTCTTTATACTCAGCCCTTACGTATTGTGTTCGACAACGATCGCACCTGGTTATTAGGCTCGGTCACAACTGTCGATCGATGATCTATTATCATTAAGGAAAGAAGTGGAGGAGAAGATATATGAACTTATATCACATAACACAGCCCGCATTTCTCCGAGATACTCAATACTCGACTTGCCGCCTGATTTACAAAAGTCGATGTTATCGTTTTATCCCGGTTTTAAATGTTTACTTATGTATAATAAGATTGTAATATAGTCGTTGGGCCAAATAAAGCTCGTTTTTCGATATAAGCACATATGTAGATGCGTGTGATTATTTCTTCTTAAGTTAAAACGTTGCTAAAAAAGAGCAGGAGTTCAAAAAATTACCGCAAGATTTCCATAATACAAAACTTCTTGCATTGTTAATATACGTCGTTCCTCTCTCTCTTCGCCTAAGGAGATTCATTTAATTTACTAAAACCGCGTTACGCTTATGAAGGACAGTTAATGGCACGCAATCTAAACTTCATTAATGTTACAGAAGTAATATATCGTTCTTTATTCTACGTGAAACATCAGGGAAAACGACACTTATCAATGTGTCTCGCTTTTACACAAACTTTATTATTCTTTCTCCAAAATATTCTGTATCGCAAAAAGCTTCAATGTAATCATTTGCAACTTAACATACTCGCTTATTGCGAAACGTGTTGGAAATTAGGAAGAAGATACTAGCAAGAAAAGGCGAAAATGGAGGAAGAAATTCATGTGCAAATGGAAGACAACTCGCCCTCAATAGAGCACAGTTTACGTCTGATATCGTACACTTCTTGGCTCCTCGGTGTCGGCATTGCACGTCCGCGAAAGTGTCCCAAAGCTATTACAATAACGCTACGTATTGTTCACTTGGCTGTGTGTTCCGTTATCGTAGCGTACGGCGCAATAGATTTCTTCACCTTCGGTAGTGTCTTCAAAAGTGACATATTCAAGATCATGTATTACATGAACAAGGTGATGTGCTATGTATCGGCGTATTACTACGTTTATCATGGGATCAGACAGTATGACAAGTGGCCGGAGTTGATGGACAGAATAAAGGAGATAGACCAGAAGATCAGAAAGGAAATCCCTATGAATGATCGGCCTATAAAAAATGTAGAAACGCTAGCTATTCTCATGATATTCGCTTGCGGCCCTTTGTCTCTGATCGTGCACGCCCTGTATTACTATTTTACGCGTCCTGAAAACATTTTTGCGTCCGACTTGCTGCTTTATTATACGATAGCCCAGTCATTGATCAATAGTTTTGTCTTTGATGTTGTCGTCTATGTTTTGTATCGTAGATTTCAAACGATAAATGAATTGATCGACCAACTGGACCAGCTATTCGGTGCACCGTGGATCGCGCTCAAGATTAGACGCATCAGAGAATTGTATACCGGTGAGTTTTTTCTTAAAAATATTATCTTTTGTCAGCGAAAGTAAATAAGGACTAATGAGCTTTAACAGGTTCTTCATAAATTCATTATCTATTTAACACACTGAAGATAACTTTAATAAAAATTGAAACGTCGTTTATGGCTACGTAATAGATTGTAGAACATTGTTTATATTTATATATATATATATATGAAATGTAATTTTATAATATGAAAATAATTATATTGACTCAAGACTTTGTTGAACAAGTTATATTGTGTAGGTATCTGTGATCTCGTTATCATGGTGAATGATATTCATGGCTTTCATCTCCTCCTCTGTTCGGCGAACTGCTTCACTATGGTTGTAGCTACTCTATTTAGAATCTATATGGGTGTCGTGGAAAAAAATTATGCATTCATAGTGATAAATAATATTCTTTGGATTCTGTACGCCATGCAGTTCGGATTGATGTGCTGGATTTGCACGCTCGCGTGTAAAGAATCCGACAAGATTGGGATAAGTATATACGCGATTGTACTGAATTGCAAGCCTACGAATCTTGATAAGCTGAATGGTGCGAGGAATCAATCAAATCTAGAGGTACCACCGCCATTGGAAGGACCGGATGGCGAGCAAAATTCTAATCGGAGCAGCAATTACAATTTGAACTACGTTGTCATGGAAAATATTTTACGCAAAAACCTGGATCGAGACTGTGTCAGGAACGAGGTCAATGATTTTTCGATTCAACTGCAACAGCATCGAATAGCATTTACAGCCTGCGATTTCTTCGAAATGAACAATGCTCTGCTCAACAATGTGAGTACACAATTTAATTCGGCAAAATTTATATAAAACTAGCTTCTTTCAAATTTTAATAAATAGGAATTAAATGAAGAAAATTTATTTTTTTATTATATATTCTATTTTGCAGTTCGTCGGAGTGATTACCACTTATCTAATAATCCTCGTTCAATTTTATCGACCTGAAAATCCAGACGCGCAATTCAATAGAAAACGCTAAGCGGAATGTTATTGCGGTAAGAGATTAAAAAAACATCATAGTTTTTTAAAATTAATATTAAATATATTAATAAATTAATTTATTATAACAAACTTATTACTATATAATACAATACAATTACATTAACACAGCTCGTAATATCTTAGAAAATAAAAAATTTATTTTTGCAAAGAGTAAACTGAAATGAGTTTACTGAACTTAAGTCAACGATAAAGTGTTGAATGTGAAACAAAATTAAATGATACGAAATTTAATGTAATTGTAATAAAAGAAGAACAGGAGTTCGTCATTTCATTTAATCAACTTCCTCGATGGTTGGTCCAGCGCCACCAGCACCAGGATTGGCTCCTGCTCCGCCAGCACCAGGGAACCCACCAGGCGCTCCACCACTTTGGTATAGTTTTGTGACAATGGGATTGCATAAAGCTTCCAGTTCTTTCTGCTTGTCGGCGAACTCTTCCTTCTCCGCCAATTGATTGGCATCCAACCAGGAGATGACTTCGTTGCATTTAGAAAGAACTTTCTCTTTATCGGACGCTTCGATCTTATCTTTAACTTTGTCGTCCTCCATCGTGCTCTTCATGTTGAAGCAATATGACTCGAGAGCATTCTTGGCGGAAATCCTCTCCCGCTGCTGCTCGTCCTCCGATCGGTACTTCTCGGCTTCATTCACCATCCTCTCTATATCTTCTTTCGACAAGCGACCCTTATCGTTGGTAATCGTGATCTTATTTTCCTTGCCCGTAGATTTCTCGATCGCAGAGACATTCAATATACCTGCAAAATGAAATAAATATGAGAAATTGAAAACGTTATATAAAATACATTGTAACAATTAACCTAACAATGATGTTTTCGACTTGAAGCTATCAATGTTTGCTGTATTATAACTTACCATTGGCGTCGATATCGAAAGTAACTTCGATTTGCGGTACACCTCTAGGTGCTGGAGGAATACCCGTCAGCTCAAATTTGCCAAGGATGTTATTATCTTTCGTCATCGCTCTCTCTCCCTCGTAGACCTGAATGAGCACGCCCGGTTGATTGTCGGAGTATGTGGTGAACGTCTGGGTCTGTTTCGTTGGTATCGTCGTGTTCCTCTTGATCAAGGTGGTCATAACGCCGCCAGCGGTCTCAATACCCAATGATAATGGAGTAACGTCCAACAGAAGTAGATCTTGGACTTCTTCAGACTTGTCGCCGTGCAGAATGGCCGCCTGAACTGCTGCACCATAAGCAACAGCCTCGTCCGGATTAATGGATTTATTCAGTTCCTTGCCATTAAAGAAATCTTGAAGTAGTTTCTGAATTTTTGGTATCCTGGTGGAGCCACCGACTAGAACGATGCTGTGAACTTGAGCTTTATCCATCTTCGCATCTCTAAGAGCCTTCTCCACGGGTTCGAGAGTGCTTCTAAACAGATCAGCGCAGAGCTCCTCGAACCTGGCTCTAGTGACCGATGTATAGAAGTCAATCCCCTCAAATAATGAATCGATCTCAATGCTCGCCTGCGTCGACGAGCTCAACGTTCTCTTCGCTCTCTCACAAGCAGTCCTTAGGCGTCTCAGAGCTCTCTTGTTACTGCTCAGATCTTTCTTGTATTTCCTCTTAAATTCTTGCACAAAATGGTTCACCATTCGGTTGTCAAAATCCTCGCCACCAAGATGCGTGTCGCCAGCCGTGGATTTCACCTCGAAGATACCATCCTCGATCGTCAGAATCGACACGTCAAAAGTACCACCACCCAAGTCAAAGATCAGAACATTTTTTTCACCTGCAGCCTTTTTATCGAGACCATACGCTATCGCGGCGGCTGTGGGTTCGTTTATTATTCTGAGAACGTTCAAGCCAGCAATAGCGCCGGCATCCTTTGTCGCTTGTCTTTGAGAGTCATTGAAATAAGCCGGCACAGTGATGACGGCATTTGTTATAGTTTTGCCCAAGTATGCCTCCGCCGTCTCCTTCATCTTCGTCAAGACCATAGAGGACACCTCTTCGGGGAAGAAAGTCTTCATCTCACCCTTGTAAGACACTTTGATCTTTGGTTTACTGCCATCATTGACCACCGTGAACGGCCAGTGCTTCATGTCGCTTTGCACCGTCGTATCGTCGAAACGACGACCGATCAAACGCTTTGCATCTTTAGAGAAAAACGATAAGAGATTCATAAGTTGTCTGTTCCTTGAAAAATTATTTTTTAGAAGCATAGTGCGATGAAATGAAGAAGAGGATCCTGCTAATTGTGTCGGATTATAAAGGAATGGTTGCGAATTGTTGAATTGGCGCCAAGCCAAAAAAACAGATTGTACGAAGATAATTTCATGTAAAAAAAATCATATAAGAAATATAATCTATCGTAAATTTTATTATAATCGTGAAAATAGATCCAAAGAAATTCGTAAAATAATTATCGCACATGTTATAATATATAAAATATAATACGTACGAAAACTGACGTTATATAATTATAATATTTTATATATATTTTTTAAAAATATATTTAAAAAATACACAAGATCTGTATTGTTAATTGTGCATTAATATTCGTATACATATATATTTGGTCGTTGCATAATGAATTAAATAAGCAACTGAGATTGAAAGCAACAAACAAGTCCAGTGAGTCATTATGATTTACGGTTCAACGTAAAATCTGGATGACATTGGTAGCTGCACACAAATTAGGATTACATAAAACTACAATGTATAGGTAAACGTCAGAACGCTCAGCTACAATGTTAAGGATAGATGGTTGGAGGAAGGAGAAACATTGCGTATATTACGAACGAATACATAGAGGACATGCGCGCCATGCAAGGTCACTGCAAGTAAAACTGCAGTAAAACACGATTGAGATAAGTTAACTCCCAAGCACGGAAAGTTTCGTGTTCTATCGATCAATAATCAAGGTCGAATAATTTAAAAATGACGTACAATTCGTCTTAAAAAAAAGAAATATAAGGTTTCATAAATTCGCCTCGAAACCGCAAAATATTGCTACATAACTTGCCAAATTGCTTGTAAATATTTTAGCATCAATTTTTTAAAAATTTAAAAGGAAATTTCAAGGAATTCATGAAAAAAATTCAACCAATATGTCCTGCAATTAGTATAACGATGAAGGATAATAAATTTTAAAACAATTGCACGAATTAAATATTAAAGTATGTAATGTGATAAAGAATTGAAAGCACTGCTGCATCAATTAAATATTCTCTCATATTATAACAACATAGCTTTTCAAAAATTTAAACAAAACTTTCACATTTAAAAAAAATCTACGTAAAAAAATTCAATCAATATATCATTCTTGCAATCGATAACGAAGAATAATGACTCAACTTAATATTGAGACATTCTATTAGTAAATATTAAAGTAATGCAATAGAGAATTAAAATCGCTATTGATTAATCAAATATTCACTCATATTTTAGCATCAGCTTTTCAAAAATTTTACATTCCAAAAAATCCATGAATTTAAGAGATTTAATGTATTTTTTAATGTATATTTTACAATCAATAATAAAGAATAATTTAAGACTGAAACAATTCCACAATTAAATATTAAACTAATTCCGAAAGTCGAAATCAACAAAAACACGGTGCAACAGATAAAGCATCCAATGGTCTTACCAGGTCACCTTCCAACGTAACTGCAACGCAAAAGCGGTGAAAAACATCTTAGACGTAAAATAAATCAGACTTACCGAAGATGGTGTTGCTAGGATTCATAGCAACCTGGTTCTTCGCCGCATCGCCGATCAGCCTCTCGGTGTCGGTGAAGGCTACATAGCTTGGTGTAGTCCGGTTACCCTGGTCATTGGCGATGATCTCAACTTTTCCATGCTGAAAGACACCCACGCACGAATACGTGGTGCCCAGGTCAATTCCAACTGCCGGTGCTTTCGACATCGTTAGAATATCTTCTCTTTAATTGTTTCGACGGTAATCACTGAAATGTAATAATGTGATACATATTATATTGTATGAACGTTGCAATAAAAAAAAACTTTGATTCGACCTCGAGCGATCGAAATTGCTCGAACTCGAGCGAATCCCAAGCTGTGCTCCAAAATAACGACGCAATAAATGCTATACAGTGAGTATAAAAAGTATTGGTGCACAGAAAATTTAGAAAATATTTTTTAAAAAAACTTTATTTTAAAAAATTAAATATATTATCCAGCGAGAAATGAGTCATTGAATTGATGTCGAATCAATATCGATGATTTTAACACCAATTTGACGTCGATTCGATGTTTAATTGGTAATCATTTCTTGCTGGTAATTAACAGTTTATTCATAAAGTATAAAATAGATTGTATGTTTCTTAAAATTATATGCCAAAAAGATGTGTATTAATTATAGAAAATATATCATCTGAAAAATAAGCGAAAATTAAAAGTTCCATTGTTTGGATGCTCAAAAAGTATTCATACAGACAAAAAATTTAGCTTATAAAATCAGAAATACATGCGAAGCTCATTTATATATGTTAAAACAGAATGTATTCATTGTATAAAATTGCTAATTAATGTTTATTTTCTACAAATAAGACTTTTTTTATAAAAAAATTTCCTTGTACGAATACTTTTTGCTCTCACTGTATTATATTATATTACGCCTGTCGAATTTCTTTAATATTGATTGCCAAAACGCTTTTACGAAAACACGTATTGCGCAGCGTGTTTCGTAATGAGCCATAAGAAGATAAAATTAACTTAAAACTTCCCTGAGGTAATTTGTTCTTTATTGACACTTGATTATTGCGTCATAATTTTTTCTGGAAATCACGATGTCTTGGATATCGCGACCGATATTCTTATAATAGTCTGATCTTATATTTAAGATACGTTTAAGTACAGTCTTAAAATGTCTTTAAATGTGTAAGTTAATTACAAAATCGTATTAACATCTTAAGACATTACTTAAAATGGCCTTGAAATAAGAACCGACTAAATACCGGCCAATTAAAAGTCGTCGCTCGGAAGTAATTTTCTTTTTTCCACGATTATTAATTGCACCCGAGTCACACAATTTCGCTTTTGTGCGTAAGAAAATTACGAATTTACATTATTACAGATAAGAAACAGAAACAATATCGGAGAAAAAACTGTCCAAAAATGTATATACTGTTTCTATAATTCCAGCAGAAATTACCGATGCGATGTGAATTTTTGAGAAACAATCGACGTACAATTTATATACCTCACAATTAAATAACACTATTTCAATACTCACCTAACAATAGCGTTTTTAAGACTTCGATGATTTGATTTGCAAGTCGACACTTCGTGCCACTTATGGCACTTATACACTCCGTCGCGTTCGTTGCGAAACTGATGACGCGAGCCGCGCAACGCGCTTTTAATACTCTGAATCGCCCGCTTCGAGAAGCTTCTGCAAATGACCAATCACGGCGCGAGTCCTCGAGATCATTCGAGAAGCTTCCATTGACGCGCGCGCGCGCTACGCGAGTGGGACAGAGATAGAAGTAAAGAGAACGTAGGAAGATCGCTAAGAAGAACTTGGTCGCTAAGAAGATTCACGGCTAAAATTAGCTTCGTGCGAATCGTATTTCGTCACGACGAGAAATTGCGGCTTATTGATGAAATAAAAATTTATATTTTTGCAAAATATACTTGGACTGCATTCTGTTATTTATTGCGAGTACTAAAAATCTAAGATCTATTTGCGTTGCAACTTTTGCACTTTTTGCACTTAACATCTGCGTTTTATCTCTCTTCAATACCTAAATATACAGGGTGTCTCGAAAGTTTGTGCCAATCGCTTTTGTGTAGATAGAGCGGACTAAACTGAGTCAAAAAGTCCCATTTTATAATTTTCGCAATAGTTAACAAGATATTAATTATTAAAAATTATCAAATATTAACATGAGAAAATACGGTATTAAAAAGTTCTGAAAAAATTCTTAGAACTTTATGAAAAAGAAAATTAATGATTTTTATCTCTTGCAGCTTTTCTATAAAGTTAATAGTATTTGAAAAAATTATTCAGGATCAATATTTAGCAATTTTTAGTAATTAATATCTAGTTAACTATTGCGAAAATTGCAAAATAGTAGAGGACTTTTCGACTCAGTTTAGTCTGCTCTATCTACACAAAAGCGATTGACAAAAACTTTCGGGACACATATTGGGAAAGAGGCTCTTTATTAGTTGATAAAAATACTTATCAACCCATATATTCTAGTTTTAAAAAATTGGCAATTACATCATTTGACAGAGCAACGTTTCAGCTTTAAAAATTTTTAATTGCAATACGATTTTTAACGGAGTTACGAGCAATAAAGTTCAAATGTTCCTTTTTACTTAATCCACGAATACATGATTCAGGAATGAAAAATCATGGGAACATTTTTAAAAAATGATTTTGTAGGGTAAACTTTTGCGATAGATAATTGAAAATTTGCTTAATTTTTTTTTTTTTAAGCACACTACAGATCTACGAAGTGAAAAGAAAATTTTTCATCTTTTTTAGCTCGTAGTTTTCTATATGTAAAAATTACAAAACTCACATAAATTCAAAAAATGTAGCAATCATTCGAAGGTAGAAATTTCAAGCTTTAAAATACTTTTTTTTAATTTAAATTTTAATCATTTTTAACGAAGATATGTATTAATGGAGAAAGGTTTTTTTACTAACTTATAAAGGGACTTTTCCTTATCCCAATATTTATTTCATTTTAGATGTAAAAATTTTTAATATTAGGTGTTGGAATTAATTCGTAGCGTTTTTAATGAAAGAATGTTATTTATTTCACATGAGCATTAAAAAATACATTAATGAAAGTACTTCCCATCACTTGTAAAACGCTACGAATTAATTCCAACACCTAATAATTTTAAGCAGAGTTGTGTAAAACTGTAATTCAATTAACAATTACAAATTGCAATGTAATTCTTAATTCAATTAATAATTATGAAATATAATTACTAATTGAATTAAGAATTACATTGTAATTTGTAATTGTTAATTGAATTACAGTTTTGTCCAACTATGGGCCAATACTATAATTAACTATGGATTTTAAACAACGCGAACAGACTGTACGTTACGTATACTATATAGATTTTCAACATTTACAATAAATAACGAAATGCAGCGTTGAAATTGCATCATATGCAACGTTCATGATTATTTGCAATGATTCGCGCTTTTTTTTAGAGTACGCGTGACATCATTCTAACACATTTAAAGAATATTCTAAACATTCTAGAAGAGATTTGTCAAACCATTTTCAAGCGAGGAGTCTCGTTATTTCTCCAAAATGTTCGTTTTGCTTCTTTGATGTTTTTATTTTAATATATCGATTTTCGTCTCGATGAAAATAGAACTAAAAGGCTCCTATTCTATCATTTTTAACGACAATGCAAAGACACTGTTAAGAACAGATGCCTAAATTCTATGTATACAAGACACTATACAAGACTATATAATATTTATCAAAGTTAGTTCAGCTTTTTTATCATTACAAAGAGAATTTTAAGATTGCGATAAATAATATTACACTTTAAATCATATTAAATATATGTTGCATCTGGAAATGAAGCGAATAAAATATATTAAATTAAGTTAATTAAATTTATATTTTTAAACACTTTTTTGCATTATTATTCGACGGGCGTTTGATAGATTCAACTCGGTTAAAAAAAAAACCATTTGGCAAGAAGTATAAAACACTACTAATCTATTTAAAGATCGTCGTAAAATATTCCAAGCGATACTAATTTAAGCTTTATTGAATGCGTATGATAAAAATAGCTCTTACGAAGATAACATACGTAATAAAATTTTCCAGCGCCATCTAAATAAAATAGCAACAAATAATACATTTAACTCTTTATCAACAGAGGAATATAAATTACTATCAAGATTTCTATCAAATCGGATAATTAGAAAACGTTATAAGTACCAATTTTCTGTTATCTAATTTCGATGATCTCAATCAGCAATTATAACTTATCTAGCAATATATTGGCAGTATTTTATATTATATAGACACATTTAATCTTTTATTCCTTAATTCAATCAGCAGACAATGTTTTTAAAAATGGTTTTAAAAATATTTAAAAAACATTTTTAAAAATGTTAAAAATAATGGATTAAGTCTCCTCTTTTTAAAAAACATTTATTCTAATGTTTAAATGAACATTTTTTTAACGTTTAACGTTTTTAACATTTATTTAACGTTTAAGAAAACATTTCTTTAACGTTAAAATTATTTAAACAAAATTAGAAAAAAATAACAATCTAGAATCTTTTTTTAATTAATTTTTTTTATCAACAATAAAAACTTTAGATGACTAATTTTATTAATTAATTTCTAATTTTTAATTATATTTTAATCTTTTTCACTTACCGGCCAGATTTTGAATCTGGGATCTCAGAATTATGAGTTTCGTATCTTATCTGCCACTTATAACTCTCGGTGCACATAGTTCTTATTGGCCATATATGGTCATACACTTAACGCAATTATGTTAACTTTTCTTTCGTGATTATTTTATTATTCCGATCAGTTTTTTAATTTGAACTTTAGAAAATAATATTTTTTACATATTTATAATAAACGTCAGATAAATATTAAATAATAGATAAATGTTTTTTAATTAATTTTAAATAAATAAATAACAAAAAAAACAAACATTTATTAAACGTCATATAAACGTTTAAAAAAGATTTAATAAACGTTAAATAAATGTTTCTTTAGACTATTATTTCAAACAAATAATTAATGTGAAATGAACATTTACTAAATGTGAAATAAATGTTTCTTATCATCACATTTTAAATGAATAAATAATGTAAAATAAACATTTTATAATATATAAACGTTAAACAAATATTTAAAAAATATTTCTTTAAACCTTTATTTCAAATAAATAATTAACTTAAAATAAACATTTAATAAACATTAAATGTTTAAAAAATGTTTTCAAACTATTATTTCAAATAAATAATTAATGTTAAATAAACATTTAATAAATATTAGATAAACGTTTAAAAAATGTTTTTTTCAAACCATTATTTGAAATAAAATTATTTAAAATAAAAAAGAAATTCAAAATAAACATTAAATAAACGTTAAATAAACGTTTAAACAATGTTTTTTGAATCATTTATTTAATTATAATATTAAAAATTATAATGTAAAATAATGTTTAATAAACATTAAATGAATGTTAAATTAATGAATTTTGAAAACGAATCATAAAAAATATAAAATTAATAAGAAATAATCGTTTAAAGAAACATTTAAAAAATATTATCTGCTGATTGGGAAACGCAGAAAAAATTCCAAATATTGTAGAAACATTAAATTGAAACAGCTATTATAAATTTTGTTGTGAACAATTTTGCCAAAATTGGATTAACAATCTACTTGTTAAATTAAATCATATGGCATAATTTAATAAAAAATCAGAATAAAATTCGATTTGTAATCTCATTATGTGAGGTAAAAATTAAATATTTAAATAATCAAATATAAAAAATGAGATACATGTTAAAATTACATTAAAATCACAGTATCATGATATATAAAATTATAAATAGAAATTTTTTTATTTACTATAAATCTAGCTGATTCTTTTTAGTTGAATTTTATACCTTCCATCCTTCCTTCTTTGGAAGGAAAAAAAGAAGAGAGATGAACGATGTAAAAACCCGTATAGCACAGAAACTTGTAGCAACATTACTGCAATATTTCAACGTTGAATATTGCAATACGATGTTGCAGAGACATTGAGAAGACTTCTTTTTACAATATTACTTTAGCAATGTTGCAGCAATATTTTAAAAATATTTCCAGCAAGAGACACAAATTGATATAAGAATCATCCTGTTCTTGTTCAATAATCAGTAAAAAACAAAGACAGAATGATTCTTGTGCCAATTTGTGCTAGAAAGGTCGCTTTGAGTGTTAAGACTTGTATATATTGATTTGTGTATAACCAAAAAAATCTTTTTAAAAAAGAAAAATTTACGTCAATAGCATAAAAAAAGGTATTGAATACATTCTTTTTTAATCAAAAACGGATATGAAATAAATGTAATTAACGCAAGTATTTCATGCAAGACAAATAAGATAGACTAAAAGTAACTAAAACTGTCAACTGGATTATAGTAAAGAAAAAATTTGGAGTGCCTGGGTCGCATTAAAACGTAATATTCTAAGATCAATATGTTTAAACAGTACGGAAATTATTTGCGAATTATTAAAAAAATTATTATATACAATATTTTGCAAATATACACAATACATGGAAACAATAATTCAATAAAGAAAAGATGTTAATACTTGCTTACTAATCTTGTAAATATATCTATAATGTTGTTATATCTAAATCAATATTATTACATATTATTTCTCCATATAATTTATATCATAATTTATATCATATCTATTATTTGTGAGTATATTTCATGTCCCACAATCTATATCACAGTCTTATTTTTATATTTTAATTTATAATGCAAATGATGTGTTTTGAGATAATATATTCACAGAAGTGCAATTAATGTGACTCGGGCACACCAAGTTTTTTCTTTACTGTAATCCAGTTGACAATTTTAATTATTAGGTGTTGGAATTAATTCGTAGCGTTTTTAATGAAAGAATGTTATTTATTTCACATGAGCATTAAAAAATACATTAATGAAAGTACTTCCCATCACTTGTAAAACGCTACGAATTAATTCCAACACCTAATACTTTTAGTCTATCTTATTTATCTTGCGTAAAATTCTTGGCTAATTACATTTATTTCATATCTGTTTTTTATTAAGAAGAATGTATTCAATATCTTTTTTTATGCACTTGCCGTAAATTTTTTCTTTTTTTAAAAAGGTTTTTTTAGGGATTTCACTGCTTTTTGTAAATATTCGAAAATGTAATAATGTAGAATTTAAATCTTCTAAAAATAAATACAGAGATTATTTTTAAAATTGTTATTTTCTAAATTTATATTTATACAAGCAGAACAAAAAGTGAAAATGACATCTATACATCAATGAGGTTTGATTTTACTGATTTTCTTGATTTCCAGGAGCTTGCAAAGTTGTATCATTATGAGAACTTGTAGTCACATTTTCTGCTGCCACGAATTGATGCATCATTCTATGCACGTTACTAACATTAGTTCCTTCTTGAAATCTTAAATAGCCATTCGTAATATAACATTGATATTTAATTTTTCGAGAGCTTTCTCACTCTAGAACTTTGAGTTGCGAATTTCAATCTCTCTCTCTCTCTCTCTCTCTCTCCTCCCCCTCCCCCTCTCCTCTCTCTCATCAGTAATACTTAACATAGTGAAATAATAACACATACCTCTGCTCATCTACTAGATATCCAACAGCTTGCCAATTTGTATCGTCATTATGAAAATTTGTAGCCACATTTCCTGCTGCCACGAATTGATGCATCATTCTGTATACATTATTAATGTCAGTTTCTTTTTGAAATCTTGAATAACCATTCGTAACATGACAATGATAGCTACTCAATATTTCGAGAGCTTTCTTATTATATTTTAAATCACGAATTTTGATATCTGTATCAGTAATATTTGACGTATTGAAATAATAACATATACCTCTGTTGATCTTCTTGACATCCAAGAATTTGCCAGTTTGTACCGTCATAAGGAGAACTTACATCCGAAACATCATGAGCAAGGAATACTATGCTATTCGTGTTATTTCCTTCAGAACTTGACATATATTCATTAGTAAATATTATTTAAATTGAATATAAATATAACATTGAAATTATATTTATTAAATGTTTGACTCAAATTTATTAAGTCTATATATTTAAATATTAATTATTCAATATATTTGCGTTAATTATATATAATAGAATATACTGATATTTCAAGAAGAATAAAATATATCCATATTAATATTATTTACCTTTGTTGATTTACATACCTCTGTTGATCTATTTGATATCCAAAACCTTGCCAATTTGTACCATCATTATGAGAACTCACATCCGAAACATCATGAGCAAGGAATACTATGTTACTCGTGTTATTTTCTTCAGTACTTGATATATATATATATATATATTCATTAGTAAATATTACTTAAATTGGATATAAATATAACATTGAAATTATATTTATTAAATATTTGACTCAAATTTATGAAGCATATATATTTAAATGTTAATTGTTCAATATATTATTGCGTGAATTATATATAATAGAATATATTGATATTTCAAGAAAAATAAAATATATCGATATTGGTATTATTTATCTTTGTTGATTTACCTCTGTTGATCTATTTGATATCTAAGACCTTGCCAGTTTGTGCCATCATTATGAGAACTTACATCCGAAACATCATGAGCAAGGAATACTATGTTATTCGTGTTATTTTCTTCAGAACTTGATATATATATTCATTAGTAAATATTACTTAAATTGGATATAAATATAACATCGAAATTATATTTATTAAATATTTGACTCAAATTTATGAAGCATATATATTTAAATGTTAATTGTTCAATATATTTGCGTGAATTATATATAATAGAATATACTGATATTTCAAAAAAAATAAAATATATCGATATTGGTATTATTTACCTTTGTTGATTTACGTACCTCTGTTGATCTATTTGATATCTAAGACCTTGCCAGTTTGTGCCATCATTATGAGAACTTACATCCGAAACATCATGAGCAAGGAATACTATGCTATTCGTGTTATTTCCTTCAGAACTTGACATATATTCATTAGTAAATATTATTTAAATTGAATATAAATATAACATTGAAATTATATTTATTAAATATTTGACTCAAATTTATGAAGCATATATATTTAAATGTTAATTGTTCAATATATTTGCGTGAATTATAATAGAATATACTGATATTTCAAGAAAAATAAAATATATCGATATTGGTATTATTTACCTTTGTTGATTTACATACCTCTGTTGATCTATTTGATATCCAAGACCTTGCCAGTTTGTACCATCATTATGAGAACTTACATCCGAAACATCATGAGCAAGGAATACTATGTTACTCGTATTATTTTCTTCAGAACTTGATATATATATTCATTAGTAAATATTACTTAAGTTGGATATAAATATAGCATTGAAATCATCTTAATTTCCAAGAACGTACCAAAATGTACTTTCATCATGATAACTTGTAGCCATATTTACTGCTGCTACGGATTGATGCATCATTCTATATATATTATATTATTTTAACATTAGTTTTTTTCTTGAAATTTTGAATATCCATTCGTACAGACATTGACAGTTAATTAATCTTCCGAGAGCTTTTTTATCATAAAACTTTGAGTCACGAATTTTGATATTACTAATACTTGACATTAAATTAGTAACACGTACCTCTGTTGATTTATTTGATATCCAAGATCTTGCCAGTTTGTACCGTCATAATGAGAACTTGCATTCGAAACATCATGGGCAAGGAATACTATGTTATCCGTGTTATTTTCTTCAGAACTTGATACATATTCATTAGTAAATATTACTTAAATTGAATATAAATGTAACATTGAAATTATATTTATTAAATGTTTGACTCAAATTTATGAAGTCTATATATTTCAATGTTAATTGTTCAATATATTTGCGTTAATTATATATAATAGAATATATTAATATTTCAAGAAGAATATAAAATATATTGATATTAGTGTTATATTTACCTTTGTGGACCATCTTGATTTCCAAGAATGTAGCAATATGTACTTTCTTGATTGTAATCAAGGAATTGTACTGTGTCATCTATGTTAATTCCTTCAGAACTTGATATATATTCATTAGTTACTATTATTTGATCATAAATGCAATATTCAAATCATATTTGTTAAATGTTTGACTCAAAATTATATAGTGCAATTGTTACAATTATTGCAACTAATAACAATTAAGTATTTTATCGATTGCGAAACATTGAAGTAAATTAAGTAATATAATAAATGTGTAATGTACTTAAAGTATATATTATGTATTTATAACTTAAGAAAAAAAATATTAATATTTTTATTATAGAACATTTACTTTTGTTGGTCTTGATTTCGAAGAGCTTGTCTATTTATATCATCATGATGGAAGTTTGTAATTGCATTTTCATCTGCAGCTCCTTCTTCATTCCTTAAATTTTCATTTATATGATATTGACAATGAGATCTTAAGTCATTTATTATTTTATATGTTGTTATAAAATCCGCTAACTAATATAGTATAATTGCTGCAATTATTGCAACTTACAATTAAGTATTTTATCGATCGCGAAACGTTGAAATAAATTAAGTAATATATTAAATTTGTATTAGGTGTTGGAATTAATTCGTAGCGTTTTTAATGAAAGAATGTTATTTATTTCACATGAGCATTAAAAAATACATTAATGAAAGTACTTCCCATCACTTGTAAAACGCTACGAATTAATTCCAACACCTAATAATATATTTAAAGTATACATTATGTATTTATAACTTAAGAAAAAAAAACATTAATATTTTTATTACATAACAGTTACCTTTGTTGGTCTTGATTTCGAGGAGCTTGCCTATTTATATCATCATGATGGGAGCTTGTAATTGCATTTTCATCTGCAGCTTCTTTTACATATCTTGAATTTTATATGATATTGACGGTGAGATTTTAAGTCATTAAGGCCCGGTTGTACTAACGTTATTTTGACTTTAAGCAAAAGAGAAACAGAGACAGAGAGAGTTTTAAGTGTTCTTGCTTAAAAAGTAACAACGTTGATGCAATCAGGCCTTATTCTTGTATTGTCATAAAATATGCTAATTAATATAGTGTAATTGCTGCAATTAATTTACAATTAAATACAAGATAATCAATAGGCTCTAAAGAAAAATCTAAAAAATAATAAATAAAATGCCAATTGAGTCAACACTAATTATTCGTGTATATATTATATCATTTATTCAAAGTGAATATTATAATGAATACGTTTCGACCTACGGTCAAAGTCTTCTTCAGTACAGAGAAATTTACTTAAACTATTAATTATAAAATTGCAGAATGCATAGTGCATACGAATATAAACTATTAACGTATAAAAACTATAATAGTGATATCCGAGTTAATCTTGGTCATCAAAGTACTAAGTTTATTAAAAGGAAAGAGATTTTTTGTTTTGAATCGATCGATCAAATGGAAATAAAAAATATTTTAAATTGCTAACATGAAGTTATCCGCAAAAACTATAATAAAATAGACTTACATGACTGTCAAGATTGAATCGTTCCAATAAGGTACGTTGTACCTGTCCATTAGACTGTTCCATTTACTATGTAGTAGAATTACGAATAAATTAAAAAGTTAAAATCAAACCTTAGTTCACTTACATGAAACAAATTAAAATTATTAGACATAACGTTATATATAGATCTATTTTCAGAGACGTAATGCTTCCAATTTATATCGTTTATCTTCGGTTACTTTATTTATTATTTATTATTTATATTTATTGTCTTTGTAAGTACATGTTCTGTTGTCCATTGTGTCTCTCAATTTTCATTTTATATTCGTCTACCAAATAGTTATGTCATATGCAATTTTCTGCAATTTTATCATTCTGCAATTTTATAATTAATAGTTTAAGTAAATTTGTACTGAAGAGAACCGTAAGTCGAAACGTATATGTTATTCACTTTGAATAAATGGTATAATATACACACGAATAATCAGTATTGGCTCAAATTAGCATTTTATTTATTATTTTTTACAATTAAGTATTTTATCGATTGCGAAACGAAGTAAATTAAGTAATATACTAATTTGTACTTAAAGTATACATTATGTATTTATAACTTAAGAAAAAAAACATTAATATTTTTGTTACATAACAGTTACCTTTCTTGATTTCGAGGAGTTTGCCTATTTATATCATCATGATGGGAATTTGTAATTACATTTTCAGTGGCTATAGACTGTTGTATCCTTGGTTGTGTCATTCTGTTGACATCATTATCTTCAGGTTCTTGTCGAGACATTAAACGTTGTTTTTTTTTTAAACAAATGTGTTTTAAGACATCTGTTCCGTAAAATATGTTCTTTTTAACATTACAATATTTACACAATGCGCTAAATTCTTTTTCATCTATTTCAAAATCTTGCGATAGAGACTTATTCGCAATTTCTTTTCGTACAATAGTTATTATTTCTTGACGATGTTTTTGCAGATGCTTTTTTATAAATGGTATATGTGCTTGATGAAGTGAAATATTACAAAATTTACATTTTTCTTTGTATAAGTCTACTTTGTCAAAGTATCTCCATATCAAGTCATTGTTATTTACCCATTTTGAGCGATCTTCTTCATTACATATTTCATGCTTATGGTATAAATGTTCCTTTATCGTTGTTATCATTCTATTTATAAACTTTCTATTTCGATTTATATAAATTTGATCACAACCATCTATATTGCACTGTACAGTAAAATTGTCTAATTTAAGAACATGATTCCACACCCAACTGTTTGATCCTTTTAGAGCTGCCATTATATCCGTACATCGCGATGTGTCACTAAATATGAAATACCAATCAAGCTAAGGAAAATATTTTAGAAGTTGTTTAGGAAAGGTTGATAGAAGAGAGAAAGTAAAACATAATTTTTCACTAATACGTAAAGATTATTAATTGAATCTTTCAGTTAAGAATCATATTGTCTAATTCCTATTTGTTCGATTTCTGTTATCAATCAATCAGATCAAGGTTAATATTATATATTTTATACATCTTGACTTGAAAATGAAGTTTAACATTGAAAATTGGTACAAGTTTATATTTGAAAATATTTCTTGACTTTTTACTGTAGGCTACGACAACATCATTTATCACTGTTATTGTAAACGTTAAGGTAATAAATAGATTGAATTAAGTAATATACTAAATTTTTTATGTGTATTAAAGTAACTACATGGGCTGAAAAGTCCCGGGATTTTTAATGAAAACAAGCGTTTTTTGTGCAAAGTTATATTTATTCCTCAATATAGTTGCTTTCGAGGGCGATACACTTGGTATAGCGATTTTCCAACATTTCAATGCCCTTTCTGTAGTACGAAACGTCCAAGCCTTCGAAATACGCCTCGGTTTCCGCGATGACTTCCTCATTCGATGTGAATCTCTTTCCCCGGA